GGTACCTTCCCATCGAGGTGGTCCCTATTTATCTACTTGCATTTGCATGCTTTCGAACCGCTAGGTTGGCGGGAGCTGGGACAAGCGACGGGCGCTCACTCCGTTGCGTGGATTTCGATCTTACAGCTGAAGATCTACATACCTCATGGCACAGAGGCTTCTGCGATTTAACCCACAGTGCCACCATGTCCCACTCAGCATGACTACCTATGCACAATTGCAGCATGTGCTACCCAGTCAAAGGCAGAGCTGCAGCCTTTTCTGTCCTGTCACCTCTTCTGAGTGAGCAACCACCAGAAGAGGTGGAGGAGGGAAGCACACACTGTGATCAGTGGGTTGGCAACCGTGCTGAGGAGCCAGGAAGCAAAGGGCACAGGGCTTGGGGAATGGGCGAACATGGAGAGGAGGCAGGAGAGGGGAGTGTGTGGTGGCTGTGGAACCCCTGTGCAGGCAGGCACCGAACCAGGCTAAACTGCCAAACCATGGTTCGTGCCCATCTCTACTCATAATCGGTGCTTGAGAGAAATACAAGAAATGAACCGGTAGAGATTCAAGAAATAAGCCAATGCATAAAACTAAAATGAGCAACCAGCCCAGGCAGGCTTAGTCAGAGTTGAACAACGGTCAGGAAAGGCCTGGCCTGGCCTGAAGACTTGATGAATAATCATATGGAGGGGAAACAGGAGAAATTGGTGCAAATATTTTCCCACAGGAGCAACAATAGTTGGTAGAAGATCCACATGGATCCTAGCAGGGTAGGAGGCCCACAGGAGCAACAATAGTTGGTAGAAGATCCACATGGATCCTAGCAGTGCTGGGTAGGAGGCACAAGATTGACAGTGTTGGTCATTCTGCACCCCGACTCCATGGATAGGCAGCTGACCATGTCAGCTATTGGTATGAAGCCGTGGTGGCAAGGTTACAAGATGATAAATCTCCTTTTCTTATCAAAGCTCCCCTTCCCAGAAGAAAATATTTCCAGGAAAAAAAGTCATTGTTGTTGTTGTTTAGTCTTTAAGTCGTGCCCGACTCTTCGTGACCCCCATGGACCAGAGAACGCCAGGCCCTCCTGTCTTCCGCTGCCTCCCGGAGTTGGGTCAAATTCATGTTGGTCGCTTCGATGACACTGTCCATCCATCTCCTCCTCTGTCGTCCCCTTCTCCTCCTGCCTTCACACTTTCCCAACATCAGGGTCTTTTCCAGGGAGTCTTCTCAGGAGATGGCCAAAATATTGGAGCCTCAGCTTCAGGATCTGTCCTTCCAGTGAGCACTCAGAGTTGATTTCCTTCAAAATGGATAGGTTTGTTCTGTTTGCAGTCCAGGGGACTCTCAAGAGTGTCCTCCAGCACCACAATTCGAAAAGCATCAATTCTTTGGGGGTTTTTATGGTCCAGCTCTCACTTCCATACATCGCTAGTGGAAAAATCATAGATTTGACTATAGATTTGAAATGTGGAGAAGGAGTCAGTGAAAACCGCCTCCTGTTTCCTTATGCCAGTGGAAATGGATCACTTGGATGGGCAGCCATCTTCATCTTCATCTTCACCTTCATCATCATCATCAACATCATCATCATAGAACTGCAGAGTGGGAAGGGACTCTATGGATCATGGAGTCCAGTCCAGTCAAACAGGCAAATTTAAAGAGCTAGCCGGGTTAATCTGCTTTTACATTATCTTACTACAGTATGTGACATTACACACTACACTCTAACTTAATCTGCTAATCATGGAAGGACCTATGAGGGAGGTGTGTGAAGACAAACGTGTTATTTTCAATTTCAGTGAACTAGCTACCCATGTCCCATCCACCCTTTTGACCAGAATAACTCCTTTAAACCTAAAAGGACAAAAAGCCAAAGAGAAACGAACTGCTTCCAGCTCTTTGGCCTGTCAGGAATATTTGCCCTCCCCAAATTATGTTTCTTTGCGTAAAGCAGGAGCGCTTTCAAGCCTCGGGCTTAAACATGGCAATGAATACATCAAGTTTTTTATGAGACAATTGAACAGAGCAACCTTTGTGACTGCATTCCGACAGGGAAAGACAAAAGACCAGCTTATAAAAGGTTGCAGTTAAAAAGCGCTTTGTAAGGAGACAAGGGGAAGAAATGATGGCTTTTGTTGGGAGAGTCAGAACGATATGAATGATAAGTGATCCGGTGAACTTGTACACCCACAGGAAAAATGTGAATGCTTTCAGTGGCAACTGGTTTATGTAAAGCTGCAACCTTGTACAGTGGAGTATTTTCAGTTGTACAACAGCGTTGTCACATGGTTTAATGAAGCTCATACTCTTCTTGAGGTGTGATGAATCTTTCAAGAAAAGGCAGCTAAACAATGAGTTTAGGGCATTTCTGAAAATAATGAAACTAAGCCTGAGCCTGGCAAATAGTGGTCATTTCATTGATTTGCCAGCGTTGCACTGAAAAAAGCAAATTCATAACCACCCCTGGCATCCTCGGTATAGATTAGGAAGCCGTTTTGTGTAGAATTGTGAACTGAAATAAATGCTACTTTAACTATCACATGTCTTGAATCTTGCTATAATCCTCCTTAACACCATCATAATATAATGTTTGGTAAAGATGATCAAGCACTGTGGTGAATGTACCCATGGACCCAGCAGTTCAAGTGATGTTGCTTTTCAATGTTTCGGTTGCATTTTAATTAAAATGTCGTGGTTAAAGGGTACCACTCCAATCCACCAGTCTTTTGCTTATATCCAAGACAAATGTTCACACAGACATCCCCTTACTACTGTCGTTGCTGTGTCCAGATCCACAGAAAAGGCACCTCTGTGTATCTGAAGACATGTTGAGCTAATAAATTGTAACAAGTCCAGTGAAGGACGACAAGGATGATCAGGAGGCTGGAAACCAAGCCTTATGAGGAAAGGCTGAAAGAACTGGACTTGTTTAGCCTTGAGAAAAGAAGACTGAGGAGTGATATGATAGCACTTTTCAAATCTTTTAAAGGCTGTCATACAGAGGAGGGGCAAGATCTGTTCTCGATCATCCCAGAGTGCAGGACATGCAACAATGGGCTCAAGTTAAAGGAAGCCAGATTTCGATTTAATATCAGGAAAAGCTTCCTAACTGTTAGAGCAGTATGACAGTGGAACCAGTTACCTCAGGAGTTGGTGAGTGCTGCCACACTGGAGGCATTCAAGAAAAACTTAGATAATCACCTGGCAGATATGCTTTGACAACTTCTTCAGGGCCTCAAGATATGGCGTGGTATGCTTCCCTGAGTCTCTGGACAAGGAGACAACTCCTACTGAGCGGAAAGTTTCATTCAGGTATGAGAGATTCCTTCCAATGAGTGTCTCGGTGCTCATCTCTACCCATTCCCTGAGTCTCTGGACAAGGAGACAACTCTTACTGAGCAGAAAGTTTCATTCAGGTATGAAATTCCTTCCAATGAGTGATCACTACCCATAACAATCATGTGACAGATATGCTTTGATTGTATTCCTGCCTTGAGCAGGGGATTGGACTTGATGGCCTTGTAGGTCCCTTCTAACTTCACTTTTCTATGATTCTGTGCTCTTTCTCCATGAAATCAATAAGGTTGCAGGAGCCACATGTGTGGATTTCAGCAAATACAGTGCCCTAGTCAGCATATTTTTGTGTTTAGTTTTCACTCCGTAAACTCCACCCCTGCTTCACCCCAAAGCTGTTTATATTTTCTGTCAGAATTTGCTTATGAGTTTTACTAATACTCAGTCCAGTTGTTTGCAAACTTGTATGGATTTGAGTACAGAATAATGGCCACACGAAACTAATTGTAAATGTCCCCAAATGAAAGCTTCAGAAAACAAGGAACCTTTTCTTTAGTACAGCTTTTCTTAACTTTTGGCCTTCCAGATGTCTTTGACTGCAACTGTGAAAGCTGGCCAGACACACTGGGATTTCTGAGAGATGAAGTCCAAAATGTCAGGAGCACCAAATACTGTTAGTTAGTTAACACAGCTGGAAATGGGGGGGGGAGGACTCAATGACAACATCAGCAGAATGGCTTAGTCAGCTTATTTCAATACAAAGTAATAAAGCAATTCAAAAGACTATTACTAAAGAAAATACAACAAATACAGTATAACATTGGCTCTTTAAACCGACTAATCACCTATTTTGTATTGGTGCTCATGTAAAATTTGAATAACTTCTTTCTGCTAATTGTGGCTAACTGACAGGGTGCAGGTGCTGTGCTTAGTCACATGTCTATTTGTTCAACTGAGATGCACTTGGCACCTCATCAATTAGTTGAAACCAGTTATGCAAATCTTATGCACACATCTATAGAGTTCCTGACATTATCTATCTTTGCTCATTACTGTTGTGGAATAAGGAGTTCTGCATTTCAAATACTTAGCATTTAAAGCCCATTCTTTAAATGGAAACATTTAAAAAGTTGCTCATAGATTAAGAGAAGCAACTGTTTTGGTATACCTGATCATACACTCCAAATTGATCTTTAGCCGAGATTCACTGGTTGTTACTCTTATATAGCTGTCTTTCGAGATTACTCTCCCTCCTTGGTTTTCCTCAAGAGCAACTATACTTTGCTTTATCTGTTTTTGAACTAGTTCCAGTTGCAGATGTTTGATATTGTTTGCACCACTTCATGGGCCAATCGAGACAAATGCTGTGAACTTCCAGCTTTGGTAAGGTTTCTGCTTCAACCTTTTGCATGCAATTAAGATCATATTAAATTTGAAATTTTGATCAGAAGATGAAAATAGGATTAATTGGAAACTAGTCACGACATAACCCTTCCCACTCTTTTCTTTCAACTCCCTAGAGGGATGAAGAAAACTGCCCAGCCCTTCCTCATGCTTGCTCTTGTTCTGAAGCCAGCAAAGGCCCTCATGGCCCACCTGGACCACCGGTAAGGTGACCTGCTAACCATGTGACTTTTATAAACTGTCCCATCCTTAGTTTTGGCAAGTCTTCATCCTTCCCGTGTTGGGAACATGGCTTTGTTGACCTATGCAAAAAGGAGAGACCCATTAATAGCCTCCACCCACTCAGTCGTTAGTGGCCTGGATGCTTTCAACAGCCAGGGCAGGCAAACATCTACTGAGGAGGTGGTGGCCCTGCAGCAGTCAAGGACCTTGTCAACTTCAATTGACGTCACAGGCTGAAATTGTGTTAAAATTTCCAGGCAAGGTGATGCGCTGGACGTCTCAGTTCAATCCACTGAGGAGATATCTAGGTCCTGGCAGATGGCCTCCACTTTTTGTTTAAAAAAGGCCGCAAATAGTCACTGTTTTGAAATAGAATCTTTTATGTTCTGTGCTTTACATAGTTCTAAGACTGCTACTTTCTAATTGTAGTGATATTGGTATTCTAGTCACGTGAAGTTCAAATCCATTGGGTTGGATCTGAACAATGCCATACTTTATGTAGTAGACTAACTGAAATCAGTATGACTTAACTTAGTCACGACAAACCTGTGTCTCCTTGACTTCAATAGATCTGCCTAATGCTAGACGAGAATGGCCCAGCACCTTAGGTCCTGCAATGTACAGCACTCATATGCCGTACCGTGTAAACATTTTCGTTGCTTGATGTTGCTCTGAAAGTTCACCCAAACTCAGCAAAGTGGCCCAGTTAATTTCATTCTGTTTGATTGGGGAGTTGGCGTAGTGTGGTCTCCTGCAACCTGATGCCTTTGAGATGTCTTGAACTATAGCGTCACTATTCCTTAGCCATGCTGGCTGGAGTCAGATAGTTGGCATGGAGTAGAGTATCCTGGAGGAAGATATGGCTGGCTGGATGCTGAGCAGGAACTCTGAAAAAGAAGAATCCTGCTAAATGAAAAGGCACTGCAACATTAGGCTGTAAATTGCCGTTGTTTCATTCTGACCCTGACTGTGTTTTACAGGGTGGTCCAGGTCTTCGAGGTCCAAAGGGGACCCGTGGTGATCATGGCCCAAAGGTATTTTGTCATTCTACTTCCTCTTGTGTAAATATTCAGTCGCCACCATCCTTACCCACTAGAATGATCTTTGTCTCAATGCTCCGTATCTGGTGCCTACTTTTAATACAGTTTTTGTTTTCCCACTGATGGATATTATTGCCAGAAAAACAATGTTTTGAATAAGGACTTTGTGGAAATTAATTAGAGGGTTAATAAATGCTGTGGTTCTCTAGAATGGCTGGAATTCCAGGCTTTTCTTGACAAACATAAGTTTTCATTTGGGGGCGAATTCTCTGGCTTTTTTATTCAGAATTCATCATTTTCAATATATGCTTATCTGCAGAGTCCCAGAGAACTCCAAAGGAAAGGAATTACAATTTATTTTATTTTATTTACTGCCCATCTAACCAATGGTCCTTCTGGGCAGTTTACAAACAATCACACGAGACAAAATGACTTCTGAGTGCTCTATACCCTAGAAAGAGTTGCCATAAGTCTTAATTTATTTGATGGCATGCAGTCATTATTATATTGTATACTGTTATTTGATGGCATGCAGTCATTATTATATAGTATATAGTAACGTGCTATCAAATCAATTCTGACTTATAATGACCCTTTTCAGAGTGTACTAGGTAGAGAATGCTCAGAGTCCTACTTCATTTCCTTCTTCTGGAGACACCTTGGGACTTTCCAGCTTGCCCAAGGCCATAGACAGGCTGGCTCTACTCACTGGCTCCACAGTCAGATATCTAAACCATTGAGCTCTCTAGCCAACTATTATTATACTAAAGATAAAGGTTCCCCTTGACATTTAGTCCAGTCGTGTCC